GGCAGGAGAATCGCTTGAATCCGGGAGATGGAGGTTGCAGTGAGCTGAGATCTTGCCACTGCACTCCAGCCTGGGCAACAGGGCGAGACTCCATCTCAAAAACAACAACAGCAACAACAACAACAACAACAAAAAACCACAATTGACAAGCAGGGCGTAGTGGCTCACGCCTGTAGTCCCAGCACTTTGGGAGGCCAAGTTGGGTGGATCACGAGGTCAGGAGATCGAGAACATCCAGGCTAACATGGTGAAACCCCATCCCTACTAAAAATACAAAAATTAGTTGGGTGTGGTGGCGCACCTGTAGTCCCAGCTACTCGGGAGGCTGAGGCAGGAGAATCGCTTGAACCTGGGAGGTGGAGATTGCAGTGAGCCAAGATCACGCCACTGCACTCTAGCCAGGCGATAGAGCGAGACTCCATCTCAAAAAAAAAGAAAAGAAAAAAAAAGAAATTTCTTTACCTCTGTGGCATACAATGATTTTATGTAACAATTATAATTATTAATAACAAACACTAAGCCATATCAGAATTATAGGAGTTTTCCATAATTTGGGACCACATACCAATAACATATTTATACAAATACAGCCCAAAGAAAACCAAACACCATTTTATATTTGACAATGCTTTTGTATGATTATTTTTTTTTTTGAGACAGAGTTTCGCTCTTGTTGCCCAGGCTGGAGTGAAATGGTATGATCTCAGCTCACCGCAACCTCCGCCTCCCGGGTTCAAGCAATTCTCCTGCCTCAGCCTCCCGAGTAGCTGGGATTACAGACATGCGGCACCACGCCCGGCTCATTTTTGTATTTTTAGTAGAGACGGGGTTTCTCCATGTTGGTCAGGCTGGTCTCAAACTCCCGACTTTAGGTGATCTGCCTGCCTCGGCCTCCCAAAATGTTTGGATTACAGGCATGAGTAACTGCGCCCGGCCTTGTATGACGTTTATACCAAATAAGCCAAATGTCACTGTTGCATTAATGCATTATTGATGTCAAACCCAATTTATCTTTCTTTCTTTTTTTTTTTTTTTGAGATGGTGTCCTGCTCTGTCACCAGGCTGGAGTGCGATGGCGCAATCTCAGCTCACTGCAACCTCTGCCTCCCGCGTTCAAGCGATTCTCCTGCCTCACCCTCCCGAGTAGCTGGGATTACAGGTGCCTGCCACCATACCCAGCTAATTTTTGTATTTTTAGTAGAAATGGGGTTTCACCATATTGGCCATGCTCGTCTTGAACTCCTGACCTCATGATCTGCCCGCCTTGGCCTCCCTAAGTGCTGGAATTACAGGCCGTGAGCCACCACACCCGGCAAACCCAATTCTTAATAAAACCTTATAACAAATGTATTTTAATCTTAATCAGTTTGACCATAAGGTAAGATTTTCATAAACCTTTTATAACCCTTTACAAATTTTTGTTAAAGAGCAGATCATCATGGCTGGGCCCGGTGGCTCATGCTTGTAATCCCAGCACTTTGGGAGGCTGAGTCGGGCAGATCACCTGAGGTCAACATGGAGAAACCCCATCGCTACTAAAAATACAAAAATTAGCTGGGCGTGTGGAATGTGCCTGTAGTCCCAGCTACTTGGGAGGCTGAGGCAGGAGAATCACTTGAACCCGGGAGGCAGAGGTTGCAGTGAGCTGAGATTGTGCCATTGCACTCCAGCCTGGGCGACAAAAACCTTGGTAAGTTTGGGATTTTAATTATGTACTAGGTGTGGAGCCTAGGACATCAGACAGAAGTGCAGATAAGGGCTGACTCTTTCCAGCATAGCTAGGGGACATGGCTAACTCCACATATCCCCAGGCCTTATCTAGAATCTAATGCTCCAAAGTAGGTAAATTGAACAATTTTCAAAGTCAAAGAAGCAGTTTATGACCTTAAAGCATTTAGCAAACCTAATATTTGATCTGCCTAATTTAGAACAAATGATTACAATTTTGAAGACATTTTTATTTTACCAATAATCTTTACAGCTGTTTTTATATCCCAAAGATTACTAATGTCACACAAACTAAATAAAAGGCATTACACTTTTTACTTTTCTGATAAGATATTTGATTTAAGCACCTATTATTATTAAACCAGTTAATCAAAGCTCTTTCATATATAAACATCACAGACATCATACATATAAATACATAGAAGATAAAGGACTCATTTTCCAAGCCAGAAATTGAACCAGAATTTGAACCAGAAATTGAATCCAGCCACCATTGTGAAAAGAGAAAGCGAGTCGCCGCCGCCAACTCACACACCTTGTTCTTCTGCCGCTCCACCGTCCTACTCCTCCGCTGGTCGCAATGGAAGAGATCACCATGCTCCTCATTGACAATGGCTCCAGCATGTGCAAAGTTGGCTTTGCTGGGGACGACGCCCCCCGAACCGTGTTTCCCTCCATCGTCGGATGCCCCCGACACCAGGGCGTGATGGTGGGCATGGGCCAGAAGGACTCCTATGTGGGCAACGAGGCCCAGAGCATGGGCAGCATCCTGACCCTGAAGTACCCTATTGAGCATGGCATCGTCACCAACTGGGACGACATGGAGATCTGGCACCACACCTTCTACAACGAGCTGCCCGTGGCCCCAGAGGAGCACCCAGTGCTGCTGACCGAGGCCCCCCTGAACCCCAAGACCAACAGAGAGAAGATGACTCAGATTATGTTTGAGACCTTCAACACCCCGGCCATGCACGTGGCCATCCAGGCAGTTCTGTCCCTCTACACCTCTGGGCGCACCACTGGCATTGTCATGGACTCTGGAGACGGGTTCACCCACACGGTGACCATCTACGAGAGCTACGCCCTCCCCCATGCCATCCTGCGTCTGGACCTGGCTGGCCGGGACCTGACTGTCTACCTCATGAAGATCTTCACCGAGCATGGCTACAGCTTCACCATCACAGCCGAGTGGGAAATTGTGCGCGACATCAAGGAGAAGCTGTGCTACGTTGTCCTGGACTTTGAGCAGGAGATGGCCACCACCGCATCTTCCTCTTTTCTGGAGAAGAGCTACAAGCTGCCCGATGGCCAGGTCATCACCATCGGCAATGAGCAGTTCCGGTGTCCGGAGGCACTGTTCCAGTCTTCCTTCCTGGGCATGGAACCTTGCGGCATCCATGAGATGCTTCAACTCCATCATAAAGTGTGATGTGGACATCCGCAAAGACCTGTACGCCAACACGGTGCTGTCCAGAGGCACCAACATGTACCCAGGCATCGCCGACAGGATGCAGAAGGAGATCACCACCCTGGCACCGAGCACCATGAAGATCAAGATCATTGCACCCCCAGAGCGCAAGTACTCGGTGTGGATCGGCAGCTCCAACCTGGCCTCACTATCCACCTTCCAGCAGATGTGGATAAGCAAGCAGAAGTAGGACAAGTCGGGCCCCTACATCGTCCACTGCAAATGCTTCTAAATGGACCGAGCAGATGCGTAGCATTTGCTGCACGGGTTAATTCAGATGTATAAACTTGCCCTTGGCAAATGCATACACCTCATGCTAGTCTCACGAAACTGGAATAAGCCTTCGAAAAGAAATTGTCCTCGAAGCTTGTATCTGATATCAGCACTGGGTTGTAGAACTTGTTCCTGATTTTGACCTTGTATTCAAGTTAACTGTTCCCCTTGGTATTTGTTTAATACCCTGTACATATCTTTGAGTTCAACCTTTAGTACATGTGGCTTGGTCACTTCGTGGCTGAGGTAAGAACGTGCTTGTGGAAGACAAGTCTGTGGCTTGGTGAGTCTGCATGGCCAGCAGTCTCCAATCTGTGCAGGGTATTAATGTGTCAGGGCTTGAGTGTTCTGGGATTTCTCTAGAGGCTGGCAAGGGCTCCTGAACCAGTTGTTTCTGTCCTGCCGGTCTGTCAGGGTTGGAAAGTCCAAGCCATAGGACCCAGTTTTCTTAGCTGATGTTTTCTGCCAGAACACCATGGGCTGTTACTTGCCTTGAGTTGGAAGCAGTTTGCATTTACACCTGTAAATGTATTCATCCTTGTAATTTATGCAAGATTTTTTTTGTATGCAATTCTCGATTCTTTAAAGAGATGACAACAAATTTTGGTTTTCTACTGTTATGTGAGAACATCAGACCCCAGGAACACGTCATTGTGTAAGGAAAAATAAAAGTGCTGCTATAACCGAAAAAAAAAGAAAAGAAAAGAAAAGAGAAAGCATGGCCCATGGTTACAAGGTCAAGCTCCCCAAGCACATGACTGACTAGTTTGCTGGGCTGTCTTGAAAAGCGAGCTCACAGGTATCCTAAGCCCATGTTCTATCCTAAGGTACTCCTCTCCATGATAGAACAATATAGAAAGACACACAAAGCACATCAGATTCGCTACAGTTTAAGACTAGCCTCAGGCCCGGCATGGTGGCTCAAGCCTGTAATCCCAACACTTTGGGAGGCCCATGCAGGCAGATCACCTAAGGTCGGGAGTTCAAGACCAGCCTGACCAACATGGAGAAACCCCGTCTGTATTAAAAAAGTACAAAATTAGCCAGACGTGGTGCCTGTAGTCCCAGCTACTCAGGAGGCTGAGGCAGGAGAATCGCTTGAACCCGGGAGGCGGAGGTTGCGGTGAGTCGAGATCACGCCATTGCACTGCCCATTTCACTCTGGGCAACAACAGCAAAACTCTGTCTAAAGACTAGCCTCACAAATCCTTTTTTCCAGTAATCCAAACTTTACCTGAAACAGTGATTTTTACCATTCATTCAATTGATTTGCACAGAGAAAGAAAGGAAAGCATTGCCTGAGGCAGGGTGGGGAAGGCAGGTGCTCAGGGAGGCCAGAGAAAGATCCACCCATTGCAGCGACACTGAAAAGTTCAGGCGGCCACTTGTCAGTAGCAAAGGGATCTTTTCCAGAAGTCCCATCAGCTCTCAAGTTTCCCTTTTAGGGAGGAAAATGCTCCCTGTATCCCACAATCCTGTACATGCCTGTCACCCACAGCCATCAGCAAAGAGTGCAAGGCAGATCAATCCAAAGAGAAGAGCAGTTAACATCCCGTAGTGCTAAACCTGTTCTTAGCTGAAAGGGACTTTACTGAGAGGAGCCTCCAACTCCCTAAATCTTAAAGGGACTCTAACCCTTCTAAGTTGGGCCTCTAACCCAAGGTCAGTCAAGCATTCTTGCCTTTTATTTTTATTTATTTATTTATTTATTTACTATTTATTTATTTTTGAGACGGAGTCTCGCTTTGTTGCCCAGGTTGGAGTGCAGTGGCATGATCTTAGCTCACTGCAACCTCCGCCTCCTGGGTTCAAGTGATTCTCTTGCCTCAGCCTCCTGAGTAGCTGGGATTACAGCCTCGCGCCACCACATCTGGTTACTTGTATTTTTAGTAGACATGGGGTTTCGCCCATGTTGATCAGGCTGGGTCTTGAACTCCTGAACTCAGGTGATCCACCCACCTCAGCCTCCTAAAGTGCTGGGATTATAGCCATGAGCCACCGCACCCAGCCTCCTGCCTTTTATTAAGAGAGGGGCCTCTAACCCACTCTGACTTAGGAGAGACTCTAAGTCCCCTAAATTGGGCTTTTAACCCAATCCCATTCTTTACCCGGGTATAGGCATCCCACTTACCCAAAGTCTGCCAATTAGTCCTGCGGTCTATTTCCTTTGGGACAGGGGGTTTCTTCAATATTGTCTCTTCAGTGTTCACCAGAAAGATGTTACCAGACCCCATCACTTACGCAGTTAGCCTTTGTTTCGGGGGTTTCCACACTATAGTCCCTCCATAGTTGCCAGAAAGATGTTACAGGAAAGGGGTCCTGATTCAGATTCCAAAAGAGGGTTCTTGGATATCGCAAAAGAAAGAATTCAGGGTAAGTCCACAGAGCAAAGCAAAAGCAAGTTCATTAGGAAAGTAAAGGAATAAAAGAAAGGCTGCTGCTCCATCGACAGAGCGGCTCTGAGGGCCGCTGGTTGCCCATTGTTATGGTTCTTTCTTGATGATATACTAAGCAAGGGGTGGATTATTTATGCCTCCCCTTTTTAGACCATATAGGGTAACTTCCTGACAGTGCCATGGCATTTGTAAACTGTCATGGAGCTGGTGGGAGTGTAGCAGTGATAGCCATCTTGGTTTTGGTGGGATTTAGCCGGCTTCTTTACTGCAACCCGTTTCATCAACTAGGTTTTTGTTTTTTGTTTTTTGTTTTTTGAGACAGAGTTTCACTCTCGTTGCCCAGGCTGGAGTACAATGGCGCCATCTCAGTTCACTGCAACCTCTGCCTCCGGGTTCAAGCTATTCTCCTGCGTCAGCCTCCCAAGTAGCTGGGATTACAGGCGCGTGCCACCACGCCCAGCTAATTTTGTATTTTTAGTAGAGACGTGGTTTCTCCGTGTTGGTCAGGCTGGCCTCAAACTCCTGACCTCAGGCGATCTGCCCACCTCGACCTCCCAAAGTGCTGGGATTACAGATGTGAGCCACTGCACCTGGCCCCAGCAAGGTCTTTATGACCCGTATCTTGTGTCAACCTCTTATTTCATTCTGTAACTTAGAATGCTTTAACCATCTGGGAATGCAGCTCAGTAGGTCTTGGCCTTATTTTACCTAGCTCCAATTTAAGATGGAGTTGCTTTGGTTTAAATGCCTCTAACAGTCCCAGCAACTAGGGACTGAGATACGAGGATCGATTGAGCCCAGGAAGTTGAGGCTACCAAAGTGCTAGGATTACAGGCATGAACCGCCACACCTGGCTCAATCAAAAGTTGTGTTTTTTGTTGTTGTTGTTGTTTTTTGTTTGTTTGTTTGTTTTTGCCAGGCACAGGGGCTCACGCCTGTGATCCCAGCACTTTGGGAGGCCAAGGTGGGCAGATCACCTGAGGTCGGGAGTTTGAGACCAGCCTGACCAACATGGAGAAACCCCGTCTCTACTAAAAATACAAAATTAGCCAGGCATGGTGGTGCATGCCTGTAATCCCAG